CCTAGCCGAGCCAATCTCCTGACATGAACCCCATCGAAAATCTCTGGGCCATACTCGACCGGCAAGTCAAAAAACAACAACAACAACAAAAAAAGCAACTTCGAAGGGCGATCTACTCCAAGTTTTAAAGCAAGAGTGGGCGAAAATCCCACAATCTAAAATTGACGAGATGATTCTCACGATGCCCCAAAGATCAACGAACTCCACGAAGCGAAAGGAAGATCTACTAGATATTAATTACATTATAAATATATCAATTCATGTGAATATGACTGAAAATTTTAATTTTTTCTGAAAAGGTGGTATCTATTTACTTGTGACCACACTGTGTATATTTGACATGGATAGGGGAAAAAAAGTCCTTAAATCCTGGTGAGGTTTCTTAAGAACTAATCTTAACTACTAATGTTGTTTAATAACGTGACTATCTAGTCTCTGAATTTGTTTGAAAAAAAAGTGTTATTAAAAGTTGATGTTTTAAACGTGTATCGCTAGCAAGTTAGAGCATTTTTGTTTGCTGACATTTTATGTTTCAAAGTAGTTAAATTGTATAAGATACAACAAAAATATTTTTGAAACATTTCATACATTTACTCTATCTTGTTACCTCTCTCTAGCCGTCCACCCAGTGGGTCAGCGGGTAAGTTTACGGACTTACGACGCTAAAATTCTGGGTTCTATCTCCCCCCCACGATAGACAGAGCACCGATAGCCTGTTATGTAGTTTTGTGCTGAAACAAACATATCGTTTAGCCTCAGTAGCCTCGGATTGTCAATCCTAAGGTTCGTGTCCCGCTTGGCACTTTGGGGCCATGGGTGTGCCATGAAAGTGACGATCAAATCTCATTATTTGGCTAAATAAGAGAAGTTAAAGTTGACTTCCTTCGTTTCGTGGAAATATTTTATGTATTTTTTCGCGATATATTTCCTCACTTTGGATTTGAACCAAAGACCTGACTGAGCTAAAGGGCTAGTTTTCTAGAGCTTGCTAGTACAGCCTTTTTAACTACTAAAACTACTACAGTTTTGGTTTAGTTTGAATTTAGCGCAAAGCTACACGAGGGCTATCTGCGCTAGCCGTCCCTAATTTAGCAGTGAAAGACTAGAGGGAAGGCAGCTAGTCATCACCACCCACCGCTAACTCTTGAGCTACTCCTTGACCAATGAATAGTGGGATTGACCGTCACATTATAACGCCCCCACGGCTGAAAGGGCGAGCATGTTTGGGAATTCGAACCCGCGACTCTCAGACCGCGAGTCGAGCGCCCTAACCACAACAATATTGAAATTAGGGATTGCTCTGCGCAGATAGCCTTTGGATGTCTTTGTGTGAAATTACAAAAACAAAACAAAAACAAAGCATCAAGATTAAATATAACCGATTTATTTATTTATGTGTAAATTTACAATTTCATAAAGACTTTTAAATCATTCAGGTTTTTGCAAGCATCATAAAACGTTTATCGCCATCTAGCGATGATAATTAGATCTAGCCTAATTATTAACTTATTAATTGCAATTCGAACTTTAATCTTTAGCAGATGGACAAAGACTTCACCTTTTGATGAATTATTCTAACTCTTTTCAATCAGTTAATATTACAGTTATTATCAAATGTATTGATATAAATCGTTTTATTTTGCAACCTAAAATGCTACTATATATTTCGCAGGCAACATAAATATAACTTTCAGTAAACAGTCATGACTGTATGACTAAAGGTTTTTATAATATCTAGTTGATCAAAAACGGATCTCATAACATGCATTTGACAGAAAGTTAACTACAAAAAAGTTCCCTTTTCTTGCTAAATATATACTTAACTATAGAGGAGTGAGATATCTATGAGCCACTGGACCGCCCCCCGAGGCTCAGTTTTATGTTTCAGACCATATAGCACTAAACATCTGGGTTAGATACCTGCAATGGGCACAATGCAGATAGCGTATTGTGTAGTTTTGCGCTTAAGCACACATCAAACGAACCACTGGGCCTTGAAGTGCAAAATGTGACAAGTAGTCAGGATTTTTGTAAGATGTTCTTTCTTAAACAAACGTCTTTTGACACGTACTCATACTCCCACAAAATAAGCTGTACAACAAGTCGCAAAGCTACAGAACTGGCTATTCTGCATTCTGTATATTGCGAGGAATCGTACCCTAGATTTTAGTGTTGTAAGTCCGCAAACTTCGAACACGCATGAGCTCATGTACATGTTAGTAGCTTATATTTTTAGACTCCACTCTACCTAAAAATTAAATACATTTGTATTTCTTTTTTAGTCTAAACGCGAAATACCTCAATCTTATTCATCAAAATATATTATTCTCACTCCCTAGGAATTTTAAGAAAAATAGGTGGAATAATAATATGCTTTATAAGGCATGTCAAAGGTTACATGCTCTAAACGAAGGACACGAGATGTATTAATGCAGTTTTCCAACGAGAAGAAGGTAAGTAAATGTCAAACTCCAAGTTCAGAACTGTTACGTATTTAACGGTAATCTTATTTGATACTACCGATTATAATTAGGTTTGATTAAGCCTAATCGTTCGCAATTGCGAGTGCAGATAATAACTAATTATAATCAAATACATACTAAAACTAATTTTAAAATGCTAGGCTTAAATTAGTGATCAACAATAACAAAGTTATTAAAACTTTCAAGCTGATTAATAAAATAATAGGTTAAGATATTATAAATGTTCGGTTAGTTTTAAATAAACGCGAAACCTGTGAATAATATTATAATTTACTGTTTTAATTAAACTTTCTAAACTAGTTATATGCTTTCGATAAAAGATTTTCAATTCATATACAACTAATTAGTAATAAATGCTGTATATATATTTATATATATATATATGTGTGTGTATGTATATATATATATAATAAAGAATATAATCACGAATAAGTGTAAGCTTTCACCGGTAGAGGTCTTGTCTTGTTCCGCTACTTTTTTTTCTTTATATAATACATAGATTTGAAGACAACAAACAAACCAACTGAATCGTGAAATTATTTAACATAACAAACAAGAACCTAAATAGATTATTCGACTTTCCCGTCACCAACTTCTTTCTTCAAAGTCTAATCGTATAAGTCAACTGTTATATCTTTTTGTTAGCTTCATTAGACTTCAGTGTCAGTGTCTTTTTTACTAGACACAGAAGCCCCATCTACCAACACATCCTGAACTATGCAACAATCGCTCTTTCTCTAAATTCCTCATTCAAACTTTCTGTTTGAAACTTTTGGTTTAATCACACATAAGAAAGTAAAATATATTTGTTGATTTATATGTGCTATTATTCATCTACAAACAAAATACATTTCTATATTTCTTCATAACAGCCAACACCTTCAATAAAATTATATTTTTGAAATGTGTGTTTTAAGTACCGAGATATAATTTGTTATTTTTATTTATCTTTTTTTAGGGTTTGGAGTTTTCTTTTTACTCGTTTTCAATAGACTTGCCATATTATCTATTTTCTCTTTTTTATATTTTCACTAAAAGTTGAATGTCTTTAGTTTTAGGTAATTACTTTGGAAATAAGAAGGTGTCTTTCTATACAATACTGCCTCTACTTAGTATTAAAGAAAGTAAGCAGCTTGTGTTCAAATCAAACGATTTTCTTTTTCTTTCTTTTTTTTTTTTTGAATAAATGTATCAACGTCACTTAAAATTTATTATTTTCCAAGACTACTAATAATGTCCCTTTGAGAATATGCGTGCAAATTGGACAAAGAAGGAGTGCTTGGAATGTTACGGATTCGGACACACAGAATAGCGGTCATCAAACAAGAAGCTAGCAAGATGATTAAGATGACCACTAAGGCTGCAATAAAACTAGGAGTTGACATGCAGAAATCTCCTTTTACGTTGGCCTGATGTCCGGCAGTTAGGGTTAATGTCCCATTATTTGTTTCAGTGAAGGTAATGTCTTCTGGAGCAACAACTTGAATACCACGTAGTAATCTTACAGGTTCAGCACGTTCTGATGTTCTCACTATGCCATCCTTGTCTTTGTAAACACTTTGGTCTCTTCCACTAGCTTCTCTCTTCTGTCTCACTGTTAGTGATTGTGGATACTCAGGACAGAAGTTCTCGCACTGGAACTTGCAGATTTCAACGTTGCATTCTAAGTACAGTTCCATTGTGTCTGGGAATTTGAATGCTTGGAAAAAGGTGTAAGCAATAATGCTAGCACCAGAATTACCAGTTGATCGTGTTTTCTGCCAAGGACCCATTAATTTTTTCTTTATAACGCATCCACGTTCATCGGTCAGTTGAATGGCCTTTGTGACGTCACCAGAATGGGCAATGCAGCTCTTTACATGAATATCAAAATCATCTGTGCCCAAGACATAAATTACTGCGGTCAGTGTGTCACCTATTTTGACCAGTCCATTGACTGGAGCAGCAAATGGTCCACGCCCAACCTGAATGTCCATGTAACTGTCCACTGAATCTCCACTGTATGTGATGGACACGATGTCTAGCATGTCCACATTGATGCTTGAGGTAACAGTCTTTTCAAACTGTCCCGTCCACAGACAGCGGATGTGCCGAGCAGTGTCCCAGATTTCTTGGAAACCAGGTTCATTCTGAATAATAATGGTATTTTCTAGATAGGCCTCACCACCCTGGCTGAACTGATCTATGAACTGGGTGCCACAACGGTCCAGAAAAACCGTGAACTCGTATACGGACTTCCCACTGTTGGCTGCTATATACTGACAACTGCTGTCGCTACAAAGAAACGGAGAAACTAACGGTTAATAGAAATAAAGTTTTAATCAGGTTTTTGTTTATCACAGTACGACTAGGTTAAATATATATGCTTGTTTATTTTAGAGCAAAGCCACCTAGGACTAATTGCTGCGTCCACAGTGTGGAATCGAACCCCGGATTGTAGCGTTGTAAGTCCCTAAACTTTCCGCTGTCCCACCAGAGGATGTCAAATATGTAACGAAATATCGTAATAAAACTGTTGATAATAATAATTAGTTGCATTTTATATTTCAGAGCTCTTTTCATAATTCCTTTTCTAACTCGTGGTCGTTATGTTTACCATCAAGATTGGCAATATGTTTATTTACAAGGTGGTCTTTTATGTTTAGCAACAATATCAAAGATATGTTTAGGGTAAAGTGATCATGTTTAGTAACAAGATTACAGATATGTTTAGGGTAAAGTGATCATGTTTAGTAACAAGATTAGAGATATGTTTAGGGTAAAGTGATCATGTTTAGTAACAAGATTAGAGATATGTTTAGGGTAAAGTGATCTTGTTTAGTAATAAAATTAGAAATATGTTTAGGGTAAAGTGATCTTTAT